TATTGATTCTACAAACGCAAAGATCTAAAAGTAAAATGTCAGATCAATCTCTTTACTCTTTCAAAATAGAATTTATAATGAAGAAAATTATAATTAAGATTAAATATTCAAAACAAGAGATGAACTAATATTAAGATCTGAATCAATATAAAATAAATTATTTCTTATTTAAGTCTAAATAATTAAATCTTTCAATTAATTATTTAGCAAGAGAATCCAATTCAGTTCATCATATGAGTAAAATTATTTGTCAAGTTAAAACAAAATTTAGGGGTCATTTAGTATATGTGATAATGATAATAACCCCGGGATAAGTTTGGGGTTAGCCTTATCCCATGTTTGGTTTGGGTTATAGATAATACCGAGATAATTTTTACACGAAAATGGTGGGATTAGTTATCCCATATAGAAGGTGTGATATCCCACCATTATAGCAAACAACCCCTTAGAGTACATAAATTTATTTCATATAAAGAGCATTAGAGTTGAAAAAAATTAGAACACAAAGTATAAAAAAAAGTTAATATAGTATTAAGATTCAAAATGTCATACAAATGTCTGAGGAAGCACAATCAAAACTAAATCCTGAACAAGAACAAATTTTCAAGACTATATTATAAAGAGTCGACTATGGTATAGCGGGATTATCTTTTATAGATGTTTCTGGCATAATCGAAATAATTTTTTTATGTCATGCATTACTTGAAAATGTCAGAACAAGAGGCATGATACTATTAGCAATAATAACAAGTCGTGTACCAACGATAATTTTATTATGAGGTCCCTCACTTTAGATTTGATATACCTATTCAAACAACTGAATTGGCCATCACAAATATATCAAAGCAGCGCAATAACTCTAATAAGGAAAGCAAAGTTGATAAGATGGGATGAAGCGTTTATGGCTAAGTATCAAATGATCGAAATAATTATCCGGAGTTCTAGAGAATCAGTGATATATTGGATATCAATGAACTGTTTAGTGAAAAATTAATAGTTTGGAAGGTAATTTCTGTCAAGTACTACCAGTAGTTCCAAAATCGATAAAAGGAGAGAATATAAAAGTTAACTTGCCAAAATTATACTTATGGCCTCAAATGAAAAGGATTCAACTGATAAGAAATATAAAATAAGACAAATCCAGTATTTAATGACTTCTTTCTTCATGTCGGAAACGAAGAAGACCATCCAATAAAAGATGATTTTATTCTTCCAAAACAGTTGGTTATCAACCTCAATGGTAATAGTAGTGCATTTATTAAGGTTAATATTTCCGAAAGTAGAATAAAACGCAATTTGCAAATTGTATGATAGAAATTAAAAAGCTATCTTAGCTAATAGATGATTATGTTGATTAACTAAATAAAAGGTTGATGCCAAATTTTATGGTAAAAATAAAATATTTTTCAGTTTTTGACTCAGCAGAAGATGATACCAATAATTACTACTAAAAAGAATACTTAAATACTTAATATCAAAAGACCTTCTACCATAGACGTTTGTTGTCAAGTTTATTATTTCATACGTATGTTAGTGCCATCGTATATATAATAGACTAATTTAAATTGATATTTTATTGTATATAGGTTGATTTTGAAGAAAAATATGCTCGTCATGCTATTGAAATTTGGATCCGCCAAATAGCTATAGCACACAGATGGTATATAGAAGTTTTGACAATAATATCATACAAAAATTATGATACTGGTCAATGTGCTTCTAAGTATATTTTTATCCAAGAATTCATCTTTCGTCTTCCAAAACTAAAGAATATCCTATTCAATTTCTGAGAAAATAATTTTCAGCATGTTTATGTTTTGCAATTATAATAAATAAAGCACAAGGACAAACATCCTAAATGTTAGACTATATTTATCGCAATAAGCTTTCTTGCACAAACAACTATATGTTGCACTTTCAAGAGGGATATCAATATTGACATCAAGAGTTGTGGTTATGACAGAGCAACCAAAGCATTAGAAGGAAACATACCCAAAAAAATATCGTCTACAAATAAGTGTTCGATAAGATACCATCACATTAAATATTTTTAAATTATAATACCTAATTATCTAACTAACATGACTAAATTGATCATTTGTATAAGTTCTGATGATGTCATTTCATTTTGAATTTCACGTATTATGCTAATGTAATAATATTTTTCGACATTTAAATAATTTTTGTATTATTATACATAAAATTTCTCTCATTAATTAAATATTGTTGTTCTTTCATATAAATAAATATTTAAACCATCACATGCTATTATTAACGTGCAATGCACGTTCATAGATACTAGTACATAAAAATCCTCATATGTAGGAGTTTAAAATTCTTTCCTTATTTGATTCGTAACATAACTATAATATGTTAACTTCTCTTAATATCTGAATTTAAAATTAATTAACAACCGCCATAAAGTGATATTACGCGTGCAAGGCCAATAATTAGCTTCTTGGTTGTAGCGTTGCCACCTAATTCTAATATGTCTATGTGTAAGGCACCAGGAAATTAGGTTAAAACAAAACAAAAATGATTCTCATTAGGGTCTATAATAATACTAATAATAATTATTATTAATTTAATTGAACTATTTTTTCATTTATGAAAATTTGAACTATTTTAAAGTGAATATTTTCGATCTCAATGTACCGATTATATGATCATGATAAGCTACACACATTGAATAAACAATAGTGCAAGGCATTAAGCTTTGGTACAACATGTAGATGAGGTAATTTTAAATCGATTTGTGATGTATCTATTGCTATTTGAAAATTAAAATTAGGCCAAGTTTTTAAATATAAATTTATCAAACTGTAAAGAAGTAATTCATCTTTAGAAGGTATTAAATCCGATAATCATTTTGAGGATATTCCCATCGATCATCATTTCACATTTGAAATGTCTCATCCGTTGAAGATAGATTTGAATATTTTTAAGACTTAAAACTTGGGATGAGCTAACATTAAGAATTTGAATCAACAAAATTAAAATACTATCTTTAATTGTGAAATAAATGATTATGCCTTTGAGTTAACTAATTAGCAAAAAAATTAATTTAGTTCTTTTCAAAATTCATTATATAAATAGAATATTTGTCAAGTTGACAAAACTCTTAGGGTAAAAAGAAGAGAAATCGATTATAGTGTAGTATATTAAGAGTCAAATTGATTAATTTGAAGCAATTACGATAAAATAGTATAAGATAAAATATATTATAAATGAATTGTTATTTTTTTATTTGCATTTAGTCCAATAAATGACAATATCTCACTATATTATTTGTTATATTAAGTTATTCGTAGTAAAATATTCACTTAACATTAATACTCATTTTTAGACTTTACATTATCACTATCAATTTTATTAGGTGTGTGAACAATCTTTTCATTCCCAATCCCTAAAAGACAAAAATATTTAATTTTTAATTGTGTTGTTTGATAAATATTTAGAAAAGCATACGAAAAGTATTTTTATTTTTGTTTTCAGGTCATACGAATTTTCATAAAGTATTTCGACGTAAGTCCCCTTAAATTACAATTAAGTATCTGAAAATTTTTGTGAGAATGAGCTAACTAATGGGAACAATATTCATTAGTTTCAGGAATTTTTCTCTAAATTTTATTTTACAATTTTGTATAACTCAAATATATAGTCTAATAATATTTACGTGATTTTTAAAAAATATACATATAAAAGCAAAGCGCGTACCCTGAAACTAGTTATATTAAATGATGTGCTACGTATTTTTATTTCCAGATGCTATTATTATCAAGTTGTATATGTCTAATTGAAATAACTGGACCTCTCTAGTACCAAACTCATCTCGCTAATCTAGAGGTCTGCGGAGCATTGCTTTGTCCATACGAATTCTTGCTGGTGTGCTATTTTTTTTCAATCCTTTTGTTTTAAAGGGATGCCATCTCATTTAGTCATGTCACTAAATAGATACACATTTTATCCAAGTTATCGTCGCCTAGCACATGGATACTAATTGCTTGGATTTATGTTCTTTAATTTCATTGTCTGAGGTAAATTATGAAGAATACATTGACTTCGATGCTGAGCCTTTGCACGTGCATACATATTTAGTATTAAAAGAAAATGAGAAGAATCTTGTAGCCGACTATCCGACTTTGTGCCGGTCGGCGGTAAGACCCGAAGTGTTTCCTAACAATATTTTTTTCATATTCGAAGTTCGAACCCGAGATCTTTAGTTAAGAGTGGAGAAATCTTATCCATCTCATCCCAACTCATGTTAGTCAAATACTCCACTTCCAATATTCACCAAGTGCATGTTGAGACTTGAGTAACATCAAGTGACACCATTCAATTCAATAATTTAGATATTACAACATCCTTTTGCTGAAGTGGTTTACTTTGTTAAATTTGGCAGTGTTGAGCAACTTTTTTCCTAACTTTTATAAACTAAATTAAAGATTAAACGTTATCTACATTTTTCTCCACTTTTTAATCTTTATGAAAAACATTATTTTAAGTTTTGGCAACGTCAATCACATTCAACATAGATTTCCTTGCCCCCATGATCTCATAAACAATTCTGAGTGAGCTGTCAATTTTAACATTTATAGACATAGTATATAACTATATACTATCAATTATTAATTTTTAGGATTAATACACAAATGTAAGGCCCTCAATTTTTAAGTTGTCCAATTAAACATTTTTTATTTGACCGGACACATAAATATACAAATAAATATATAAATTTAAATCATTAAAAGTTATGTTAAAATAGTAAATATGTTTTATTCTTAATCACATATTTCACGTTGGAATCTTAGTAATGAAGTCGAGGATATTATCCTAAAATAAATTTTTTTAATGCGAATTTAAATTATTCGAACCTCAAAATAAATAGTACTCTATTAAATAGGACAAAAAGAAAGTCAATTTATTCAATTGGTGCACCTTTATGCAAAGCTTTTTCTTTTATCCTTATCCTTTCCTTTTTAGCCCCTTTCGGTGGCCTTAGCTACAGAAAATGGACATCCTCAGCTGCTGATTTTAATTTTTAAAAAACACCCATTTTACATATGCATTGCACGTTTTTTTATGTAGGTCTGGGTCAAGCAAAGAATCTTAATTTTTCTTGCAAGATCAGCTACAACAACTCTTAATTTGTATATAAATTTTTTATATTTTTATTTCTCTGAAGAACTTTCTTTCTACGCATTTGGAGATCACCCTTTTCAAATAGAGAACAAATGGATAGATCAAACCCTAAATTCCACCCCCTTCAGCTCTAAAGATCGAGTCTTTACTGAAAAGGATCCAAGATTGTCTGCTTATTGAATCTCTGAGGTTAAATCTGAGTTTCCCAAATTACTATTTTTGTGTACTTTATATTATACATGTTTTAATTTGCTACAATTTTTGAAATGTTTGATTTTCTTTTATATGTTTACTTTCATATGGGTATGATTAAAGATCATATTTTTATGTAGTTACTTCACATAGGTTTCTGTTTGATTCTTTTTACTCAGCATCTTTTTGCCCTTTTGTTCTGTGATTCAGTTTTTCAGCTAGGGTTCTTCTTTTTTAGGTATAGAAGTATGGTTGAACTTGAATTCTTTTGTTTAATTGTAGAAAATTGAAATTCCCCAATTAGAGGAAAAAAAGATTCGTTGTCAAGATGATGTCCAGATCATATACCAATCTTTTGGATTTGGCATCTGGGAATTTTCCTGTAATGGGAAGAGAGAGGGAGCGGCCGCGGATGATGCCACGTGTAATGACAGTGCCTGGGAGTATATGTGAGCTGGATGATGACCTGGCTCATAGTGTTTCTTCTGATAACTTATCTTCACTTGCTGGTGATCGGATGATTATTGTGGCGAATCTGTTGCCACTGAAAGCAAAAAGGAGACCGGATAATAAAGGCTGGAGCTTTAGTTGGAATGAGGACTCATTGCTTTTGAGACTTAAGGATGGTTTACCTGAAGATATGGAAGTCTTATTTGTTGGGTCTTTATCCATTGATGTTGATCCAATTGAACAGGATGACATTTCTAGCTATCTTTTAGATAAATTTAGATGCGTGCCAACATTTCTTCCCCCTAATATTTTGGAGAAATATTATGAGGGTTTCTGCAAGAGGCATTTGTGGCCGCTTTTTCACTACATGTTGCCATTTTCACCTGATCACGGAGGTCGCTTTGATCGGTCTATGTGGGAGGCTTATGTTTCTGCCAACAAGATGTTTTCGCAGAAAGTAGTTGAGGTTCTTAATCCCGAGGATGATTTTGTTTGGGTTCACGATTATCATTTGATGGTATTGCCCACTTTCTTGAGGAGGCGGTTCAATCGATTGAGAATTGGGTTTTTCCTTCACAGTCCATTTCCTTCATCTGAGATTTACAGGACGCTTCCTGTTAGAGAGGAAATACTTAAAGCTCTGCTATGTTCTGACCTTGTTGGATTCCATACTTTTGACTACGCTCGACATTTCCTTTCTTGTTGCAGTCGAATGTTAGGTTTAGAGTATCAATCTAAGAGAGGTTATATAGGCTTAGAATACTTTGGAAGGACAGTAGGTATCAAGATTATGCCCGTAGGGATACATATGGGTCATATTGAGTCTATGAAGAAAATTGCATATAAAGAGGTAAAGTTTAAGGAGCTAAAACAGCAATTTGAAGGAAAAACTGTTCTGCTTGGAGTTGATGACTTGGACATCTTCAAAGGTATCAACTTAAAGCTTCTAGCTATGGAGCATATGCTCAAACAGCATCCCAAGTGGCAAGGGCAGGCTGTACTCGTCCAGATTGCCAATCCTATGCGGGGTAAAGGAATAGATTTAGAGGAAATACAGGCTGAGATACAGGAAAGCTGCAATAGAATTAATAAACAATTTGGCAAGTCTGGGTATGAACCTATAGTTTATATTGATAAGCCTGTGTCAAGTAGCGAACGAATGGCTTATTATAGTCTTGCTGAATGTGTTGTTGTCACAGCTGTTAGGGATGGGATGAACCTGACTCCATATGAATACATCGTCTGTCGACACGGTGTATCTGGTTCAGAAACAGATTCAGGTGTAGGTGGACCCGACAAGAGCATGCTAGTTGTGTCAGAATTTATTGGGTGTTCACCTTCCTTAAGTGGGGCAATCCGCATTAATCCATGGAATGTTGAAGCAACTGCCGAGGCAATGAATGAGGCTGTATCAATGGCTGAACAAGAGAAACAGCTACGGCATGAGAAGCATTACCGTTTTGTCAGCACTCACGATGTTGCTTATTGGTCGAGAAGTTTCTTGCAAGATATGGAGAGAACTTGTGCTGATCACTTTAGGAAAAGATGCTATGGTATTGGTTTGGGCTTTGGGTTTAGAGTTGTTGCCCTAGATCCCAACTTCAGGAAGCTGTCAATTGATGATATTGTGAATGCTTATATTAAGTCTAAGAGCAGGGCCATATTCCTGGACTATGATGGAACTGTGATGCCTCAGAATTCTATCATCAAGTCTCCAAGTTCTGAAGTTATCTCCATCCTAAATAGAATTTGTGGTGATCAAAACAATACAGTCTTCATTGTTAGTGGAAGAGGGAGGGAAAGCCTAAGCAAGTGGTTTTCTCCTTGTAGGAAACTGGGACTTGCAGCAGAACATGGCTACTTTTTGAGGTCTGTTTCTTCTCTTTCCCTGTACAATATCAACTGATATCAATGTTACTTGCATTTTGGTACCTTAATTACTAGTGTTTCTTTTGGTTACGTTATTCACAATGTCAATCATTCTAGTTGCTGTGGGCTTGATATGGACTATCCCTGTTTCCTATATCTACTTTTTGTATGGTGTCTAAACAAATAGTATAGTGTGCTGTTAAAAGGTGTAATTCAGAATGAGCATTCTTGCAAATGAAGAAAAAGTGATATAGGTCATTTTTTATCTCGTGTGATACAGTTTCCATTTTAGGATGTCCCTAACATTTGATATAGTTGTTAGAATGATGATATAGTATTTTATGCAGCTTTACATCTTTCAGTAATTCAAATTCATTTACTAATCCAATCATCGCAGTACCTTCTCAAATCTCTATTGTACTACCTGATCTAAACAATTTAGTCTTATTTTTCTATCGTGGTTAATATAGTTTTGTAGTCAACAGTGGCGACACCAAAAAATTCAATAAGGGTGTTCAATGTTTAAACACCTTTCGCCAATGAGCTATGCAAGGGTGTTCAGATTCAATTTTTTTTATCTATAATAAGTAATATTTTACCCTATACACAGGAGTATAATTTTTCGGTGAAGGGTGTTCAATTGACCACCCTTGACCACAGATAGCTTCGCCCCTGGTAGTCAACTTAATTCATTGAACTTCATGCCCTGACAATCTGTGCCTTAGTGATTGTTGAGATTCCTGTGCTAATGGTTTCTGGCAATCTTCGCTGCCATCAGGATATGGTCTGACTCAGCCAAGATTATCTGCATGAATCAGGGAATGCTGTTTTCCAGGTCAATCTTTTGCTCTTCTAGGTTTGCTAACTTTTAGTTTTCTGACAATGCAGATGGGCTGAAGATAAGGATTGGGAAGTATGCAGTCAGAGCTCTGATTTTGGTTGGATGCATCTTGCTGAACCCGTGATGCAATCCTACACAGACTCTACAGATGGTTCTTGCATAGAAAGAAAGGAAAGTGCTATAGTGTGGCAGTATCGTGATGCGGATTCTGGATTTGGGTTTTCTCAGGCAAAGGAGATGCTTGATCATCTAGAGAGTGTTTTAGCAAATGAACCGGTTGCTGTGAAAAGTGGTCAGTTCATTGTGGAAGTGAAGCCCCAGGCACGTATTACTTGTCCCAATTTCCATATGTTTTCGTTCTTATTTGTTTCTTATATTCCAAGATTTACATTTACCAAATGGTACTTAGCTTCCTCAGTAAATGACCCCTTTCCATGTTGATGACAGTCTCAGTACACTTTTGGTTTCCTATAAATGATCTCTGGATGAAACTTTTTATTAGCAATCGGGCATCTTGATGCGAAATATGAATATGGTGTTGACCATATAACTTATACATCTTATTTTCCTGTATACAATAATTGTACTGATCTCAACATTAAGTGTGGCATTTGCTTTCTGAGTTGCCAATTTTGTTATATTGCTTATGAGGATGGTGTACATTCTTCCTATTTGTAAGTGTGAATGGTGTGCATTCAAGCTGGTATACATCGACCTTCATTAACAATTCCTATCTTGTAAGTGAGTATCATCATTCTCCACATTAAGTGCAAAGCATTATCCCATTTTAAATCCATGTGTAGCTTATCTACAAATCAAGGTGCCTCAAGTATTTTCTAACATTCATGTAAGTAGGTGACAAGCAAGTAGCTGGCATACATGTCCTGTCTAGAAAGATTAATGTTAAGTAATGATTTTAACAACAGTGATAGTGTTTTCTCTTCCACTATTCTGATTGCTGTTGTCAAATTCTTGAGTATCCAGAGTATATATCCTTATTTTAATGATTTTTGACTTGTATTCTAAGCAGTTCTCTAATGTGTCAATCCTAGCTTGTGTTTTTAATAACCTTAATTTTGTCTTGTCATTCTAGGGTGTTACCAAAGGTTTAGTTGCAGAAAAAATCTTTACATCTTTAGCAGAGAAAGGAAAACAGGCGGATTTTGTGCTTTGCATTGGTGATGATAGATCTGATGAAGATATGTTTGAAATCATCGGCGATGCTTTGTCCAGAAATATTATTTCATATGATACCAAGGTATTTGCTTGCACAGTTGGACAAAAACCTAGCAAAGCTAAGTATTACTTGGATGACACATCAGAGGTGGTGCTAATGCTCGACTCCCTTGCTGAAGCCACTGATACTCCAGTGACTTCCGATGAAGAACCTGAGAGCTCCGCGTGAATGTAGCTACGCAGTTGCTTGGTTACCTTCTCTGCTGAATGTATATTCCAGGTCTGGAGATCAGTTTGTCCATTTGATAGTTTAGGTTTTGAGGTTTAAGAAAAATGGAATCTCAAATTCTGCTCAATCATTCTTTCCTTTCTGTTTTTTTCTATTCTTTTATCACAATCCTGGATGTAATATATTTTATGAGAAGGGGAGAAATACAGAAGATGAATGCAGATTCTTAAGGGAAAGAAATTGTGCAGTGCTGGAGGGCATTGAGCATTTATGCAGAATCGGAGAATCATAAGAAGAGAGGGGCTGAGCCAAAAATGTCAGACATGGTTTCTGTAAGATCGACAAGGGCAGAGAATTTATTAGGATAGACAAAAGTTTGTGTCATTCTTGAAATATGCTGAAACTAAATGAAGTTCTTGCAGTTCGGGCTGCTTACGCTAATTGTGGTGGCAAAGCTTTAACCGAAGACTGCTTCTGGCTGCTTGACAGTTGAATTGGTTAGTATATGAGGTTTTCTTCTTTCTTATAAGTTGGTCGTATGTTGGACCTAGTTTAGATTATAGCATTGTGTCTGTGGACATGGAATCTGTAGCTGGGTAATAAGCATCAAGAATGTGATTTGAGGCAATGGTTTCAGCAGTTTTATAATTGTACAGTCTAAGAATAGGATGTGAATTGGGAGAAATTCTCTTCTTTTTTTCTTTTTATATTTGGTCCTATCAAAAGCATTGTGGATATAAGTTAATGCAAGAGCATTTTGTTTTAACGATTAGAGTTTTCTAATCATAAAGCTCTCTACCACCTATCTATTTGACTATCTTGATGGTGCATTCTGTTTGTTTTTAATTTACTAATCCATATTGTTATTTGCCTTTGCAACATTTCTGTACTCTTTATGTTGGGAGAATATATGGGGTGGTTTGATGAATTCTTGTGATGCTCTCTTTTAAGAAGGTTTTTTTTTTTTTTTTTGGTTATACTCTTTGAAGTTGGTAGTTTAGAACTACTAATTTATCATTTTCTTGTTAAGAAAAAGATTGTAACATGGACAGTAAGGGGATGGAAGAGATACACTTTTGGGACAACAAGGGAAATTTGTATTGGGTATATGTTAGAGATTTTTACACAATAAATCACTTATTTAAAATTATACCTTATGTATACATGGTATATGTTTGAATTGGAATAAATATATATAGATCCAAATCGCATGCTATATAAATCTAAAATACCGAATCCTGCAACGTAAAAATACACTATATGTATCTCGGGTACAATCACTTTATAACCCGTATAAAACATGTATAAATTTAAAGAACTTACACCAATAACACCTTCCATTTCTGAAAAATACACACAAATATTTCAATAATATATTGTGAATCTAACATGTATGGTAAAATAAGTCACACCAAATGGTATAGAAACATAGAAATATCAGTACCAATAATACATTGTATATATAACATGTATGGTATAATTCATAATTTATACAAGTGCCTTCTTTTCTTTGCGAGAAAGCTTCTGATGTTTCTCACTTATAATTTAATTTTTGTAATGATTTTAGTGAACCTAACTACTGTCATGGAAAAAGGATGGTGGTGTCTAGAAGGAGTAGGGGGAGACATGGGGAAACTTTGATAGATATTGAAAGCAAGAGATGTGGATGAATATAAAGAGAAAAACGGAAGTTGTTAGGGGTGATGAGAGAGAGAGTATAAATTGATCCCTCAATTTGTAAATGACTGATTGTTAAATTTGTTAGTCATTTAATGTCTGAACCTCTAACGTGCTAGACTTGTAAATGAATTTGCTACTTTTATAATAATCAAAAGTGATGTTATTTAAACAAATAATTTTAAATAAGTGACTTATTGTGTAAAAATCTCAAATAAAATGGAGTCGAAGAACATATATGTAAATACATTTGGACACATGGTATTCTCAGAAATACTGTATTCACTTTTCAATATGAATGAAAATAAATAAAAGATTTAATTTTTGTGAATCTCTTTCAAGGTTTGAATATTGTTACATCTAACAGAGGAAACAATGGTTCATAAATAGTCTCGATATGAGAAAAGGGGGAACGACCATTACCTACAGTCAAATTGTCACCAATAATCTCCACAAGAACAACAGCAATCTTTGAAGTGATGAAACCTACTGGCATCGCGTACAATAATTTCTCGCTTTTTGATCTTGGATATGTACTTAATAGCCACATGGCAATCGCCACAAATTCGTAAATTCTTCATTATCCTAATTGGAAAACCCTCAGGGGTGTTCATTAGCGCAAAAGCAATTGCTAATTTTTCACTGTGATGGACCAAGTTGTGCTCTTTTTCCTCTAAGTCCATATCATGCAAAACGGACCCCGTATCAGGAACATAGCCCTCTAACTTCAGTTCTGCAATCAATTCCTTTAAGTATGCATCAACCTCTTCAAACTGTGGATGAGATTTATCACCCATAATAAAGTGGTGAACATGGTTCTTCAACTCCAGCCAGCTTATTCCTGGTTCTTTCTTTACTCCTCTATCCCTCATTGATTTCCTCACTTCAGAAACATACTTCCACCTTTTGGCAGATGCATGAACATTAGCAACGAGCACATATGAAGCTGAATCCTGAGGATCAATCCTCAAAATTTCTTCAGCTATACTTCTAGCCATATCGGCATTTTTATGAATTTTACAGGCCGATAGCAACGTCTTCCATATGATAGCATCAGGCTTCACAGGCACAGATCTAATAAGAGCTTCGGCCTCCTGCAAACGGCCTGCTCTTCCTAAGAGATCAACCACACATGTATAGTGCACCAGTTGAGGTTCCACATTGTACTTTTCCACCATACAGTTGAAAAATTCAAGCCCTTCGTCCTTCATCCCACTATGACTACAGGCATAGAGCAAACTCAAGAAAGTCACGTCATTAGGTACCAGTCCTTCCTGCTCCATGCGATGAAACAACCCAACCGCGTTCTTTCCTCTCCCATGAAACCCATAAGCAGAAATCATAGCACTCCATAAAACAATATCAGCTTCCTCCCTTTCCTCAAAAATCTTCTCAGCTTCATCTAAACACCCACATTTTGAATACATGCTAATCAAGGAACTAACAACTGCAACCACAGAAACTGCTCCAGTTTTTATAACCTCAGAATGAATTTGCTGCCCCTGTCCTATTGTAGCCAGCTCCGAACACGAGCTGATCACGCTAACAAATGTTATCTTATCTGGTCTAAACCCAGCGATTTTCATTAAATTATACAGCTCGAATGTACCCTCAAAACATCCATTCTGAGCCTTACCAGTAATAAGGGTATTCCAAGCCGCTACAGTTGGAGCTGGCATTGACTTGATCACTATCTCCCCTTCTCTTAAGCTACCAGACTTCATATACATATGCGCCAATGAACTTGCAACAACCAGATGGTCCTCTAAGCCCAATTTCAATACACAACCATGAACCTGCCTGCCCTTATTCACATCCTTCAAGCCAGCACAACCTCTTAAAACACTTGCAAGAGTAAATGCATCAGGCAAGTAACCCAATCCATGCATTTGTGAAAACAAACTCAATGCCTTGTCATTGAACTCAAACTGAGTCAACCCAGTGATCATTGCATTCCAAGAAGCCAAATTTCTCTCACCCATTTCATCAAACAGCTTAGAGGCATTATCCAAATCGCCAACTTGTACATACCCACCAATCAAAATGTTAAAAGACATGACATTTCTTTTAGGCAATTTTTCAAACAGTGAAACCGCAGTATCTAGCTGACCCAACTTAGTGTAAGCATTAAGGAGGTGGTTGGCAACAAATTTGTCTTTGAAACAGCCAGAGGTTAGTATGAGAGAATGCAGCTGTTTGGTGAGGGAAAAAGATTTTTTTTCGATGCATGATTGTAGAAGGTACGAGAAATGAGATGGGCTGTCCCATATTAGGAAAGAGAACTTATTGAACGCTTCTTTTAGGTAACCTTGAGAACATAGGATTGAAAACTCAGTGGAGGCTGTCGAGAACGGCCGAGAGTTTGATGAACGGAGGGGAAGGAAACTCAGAGGTCTCACACAAGACTGTCCCATTCGTTTAAAAGTTCAAGTTGGTCGTTGCCTTTTATTCTCATTTTATGTGTCTTCGTTTGGAATCCTCTAGTTTTATTAAAAATGCTTTTACATTCTTGTGATCTTATGTTGTTACCCATTGTATCGTATTGTTATGTTAGATATAATATTTATTTGATTGTTAATTAAATTTTATTGTATTGTGTCATTATATTCATTGTTACATAATGATGAAAAACCCCATTTTATATAATGACTGATTTAGTGAGATTAGGTCCAAAGGCGGAGCCATGATTTCAAGCTTATGAGTTCGGATTCTACTCGTTTCAAGTTATTGGGTTCTAAATTAATAAATTTATACATATTCAATAGATTTTTTAAGATAAATACAGAGTTCGAACTAAAGCTACCGGATTCGACCGAACCAGCTCTCTAGCTCCGCTCCTGGTTACGTCACCTTATTTCTTTTTCCCAGCAGTCCCCACTGTATTGGTCAAAATTTGCCGACTCACTAATTGCAGATAAGTCGTGTTAAGGACGGGGTCGACCACGACATTATGGCGAAAGGGCCGTCCTCATAGGAATCACTGGCGAGGACGAACAACCAAAGTTGTAATTGCAACGGTAGGATAGACTTAGGAAAGGACATCAGGAATATTCCCTTGGATATTCCTTATGTTGTACTTTTTAGGATTTTCTTGGGAATTTCCCTTATAAATAGTAAGGAATAGGGAACAATGAGGGGGATCTTCATTTTCTGAGAAAAAGACATTGTAAAAAGTTGACTCAAGAGAATATACGAAAAGTTGTCTTGTTCATTGATTATATTATTCAGGTGCATACTACTCAACCTGGACTCACAAGATTCAAAGATTCCATAACCATCTTTATTTCTCTCATTCCCACGTTGTTGTCAAGGGAAGGAACCATCCAAATCATACAATAATTGGGTAGTAGATTCCCTCTTATTACATTTATTGCAATCTTCTACATTTATTACAAATTTATGGTATCACATTATTAGCATTCATCGAATATAAACGTGCTCTTTAACACTGCCAAACATCGTTCACTCCGTCGATTCCTCGACATATTTGATCTAGAATTTATTATCTTCAACTAAGAGTCATCCTATATCTCATCATTAATTAGTTTAACTAAAAGGTTCAACACCTTTTTGGTCAAACAATTTGGCGCCGTTTGTGGGGAGTTTTTAGTTGAAATTTTAGTTCCTTCTAGAGCAAAAAAAAAAAAAAACAGCCATCTCTTCTTCGTTTGTACAAACTAACGATAGCAGGAAAAGGAGATGCAAGACAGAAAGCAATAGCAGGCGTCACTACCAACATTTTGAACACCATAAACGAAGATGACAGGGAAAATAACGAGAATGTGACGCCAAGCGCTACACCCAGGCGGAGTGATTCACCTCCCCCTCATGAAAGTGTAACCGCTTCACACGAGAGGGGAGCCTCCACGTCTACAGTTAAGGAAGCACCACCAGTAGTGAAAAAATTACTGGAAGAGTGGCTGGCAAACACTCTAAACAACATACTCGACGAACCCGTTCAAAGGGAGAATAGAAACACCACACAAGCAAATACCACAACAACCACCGGCGAACAACCTGCCCCCCAAACAGGTAATGCTTACACTATTGTTGATGCAGGTAATGACGCACTTCCAATCATTCCAAAGAAAATGGAAGAAATGGAAAATGAGAATAGGGCACTCCGCGACCAGATGTGGGAACATCAAGAAAGGGTCGATAAGATATCGGGCGCCCAAAAGATGCGACCAAAACGAGATGTTGGCCGGTTCGTCGAACAACTGTACAGCAAGGAGGCGACTCCATATGCCATACCCAAATCCTTTAAATGCCACCGTACTTGAAGATATACGATGATACTACAAATCCCGAAGATCTCATCATTCATTACGTCACAGCGGTGAAGGGAAATAACCTTTCGAAGGAGCAAGTACCATCAGTGTTGCTGAAAAAGTTCGGTGAAACCCTAATAGGGGGAGCCTTAACCTGGTATTCACAATTACCAGCATGGTCAATAACAACGTTCGAAGAAATGACAGACAAGTTCGTCACCGCCTATGCCGGAGCTAAAAAGGCGGAAGCCAGGGTAAAAAATATATTCGCCGTTAGGCAATCGCCTGGCGAGGGAGTCAAGGACTTCCTCACCCGGTTTAACAGAGTAAGAATGAGCCTACCAAATGTATTAGAAGGGATGGCAGTAGCAGCTTTCCAAAATGGGTTGAACAGGAACGAGTCGAGAGCAACCAGAAAGCTATTAAGTATGCTCATGAAATACCCTTCCACCACTTGGGAAGAAATCCACAACGCCTACTGCGCCGAGGTAAGAGCAGACGAGGATGACCTTAACGGTCCGACCCAACGGTTAACATCACTCCAAACGGAGTCGAGAAAAGATCGTTGTAACGACGGTCGAAGATACCAGTCAGGTCCACGCCTCAACCAAGAAAGGTATCAACCCTACGTCAGAACAACCATCCCACCGCCTCCTTGACATGCGGAAGGGCCGTCCAGGCCACATATAGGGACTCATCGAAACGAAAGAGGTATGCCTCCACTCTTATCCACTCACAATTTTTGTGTTTCCCCTTCAGAAATAGTGTACTCACTAGAGAAGCTTGGCACAAAGGTGAAGTGTCCACAGAAAATGAAGTCCGACCCAAATACCCGAAAGTCGAACGTCCTTTGTGAATTTCACTAGGAGCAGGGTCACAAAACCGAAGACTGCATAGCCCTACGGCAAGAGGTAGTAAACATGCTGAACCAAGGGCACCTGAGAGAGCTGATGAGCGACCGTGGACGAGCCAACTTCAGCCGTGGACGTGAACAACACCAGGGGCCTCCAAAGCTACCCTCCCCTGCCCGCACCATCCAAATGATCATCAGCGGAGGCGATGAAGCCTCGATCAACTGCGTGAAGTTCACCACCACACACAAACTTAAGCGGTCGATCACCCATGAACGGTATGACGACTTTGGAGACAGTATCACCTTCGATAAGTCAGATACCGACGGTTTGAGTTTCCCTCATTTCAATGCAATTGTTATTACTGTACGTATTTCTGATACTGATGTGAAAAGAATAATGGTAGAAGACGGAAGCGGCGCGTGTATTATCCACCCTCGAGTTCTCACACAAATGAGTCTCGAAGACAAGATAGTACCACATTGCATAACACCAACAGGTTTTAACAATGCATTTGAGCGAACCTCAGGGGAGATAATGCTACCCGTTCTGGCCGGGGGCGTCACCCTAGAAACAACGTTCCATGTCATGAACCAGGACACAACTTATAACGCCATCATAGGACGACCATGGATACACGCCATGAGGGCCATCCCGTCAAGCCTGTATCAAGTGATCAAGTTCCCTACTCCATGGGGGATATTCAGCATCCTAGGCGAACAACGCACTGCCCAAGAATGCTATCGTATCGGTTAGGATTGCACATACACTCAACAGCTAAAGGGAACAGACTCAGAAGCATAGCAATTACCAAAGTCGGAGACAAGACTCGACACACAAACAGAAGTTATCAGGGACCCCGACATCGTGGAAGCCACAGGATCAATGGTAGAAGACCTCGATCCCGTCCAACTGGACAACAGTGACAATAGCAAAAAGGCTTACATTGGACATAAACTCTCAAAACTATGTAAATTTCATAAATTTTTAATTGACAATGCCGATTTGTTCGCCTTATCCCATGCAGATATGTTAGGTGTCCCGAAAGACGTTGCCACACACAAGTTGCATGTCGACCCACTCTACCCCTAGTGCGACAAGTAATGAGAAAATTCAACGCCGCAATCAACGAGGCCGTCAGTGATGAAGTGGACAAGCTACTCGCCAACGGTTCCATCCGGGAATCAAAATACCCCCAATGGGTCGCCAATGTGGTCATGGTAAAAAAGAAAACGGGAAGTGGCAGATGTGTGTGGATTTCACAGACCTAAACAAGGCTTGCCCGAAAGACTCCTTTCCATTGCCTCATATCGACCAGCTCATCGACGCAACATCGGGGCATGAATTGTTAAGTTTCATGGACGCCTACTCAGGTTACAACCAAATCCTCATGGAGGAGGAGGACCAGGAAAAGACTACTTTCATCACCCATCACGGAACGCACTGTTACAGAGTCATGCCATTCAGGTTGAAAAACTCAGGAGCAACGTATCAAAGGTTGGTCACCAAGATGTTCAAGGATCAACTCGACAAAACAATAGAAGTTTACATCGACGATATGTTAGTCAAACCAAAAAGGAAAGAAGACCACATCGACCACTTTCAGTATATTAAGGCAGTACGACATGAAATTGAACCCCGAAAAATGTGCCTTCGGCGTAACCTCGGGCAAATTCCTCGGCTTCCTGGTATCATAAAGAGGCATCAAAGTCAACCCCGATCAAATCAAAGCCATTGAAGGGATACCCGAAGTATTAACCAGCAAGAAACAATGCAAAAACTAACTGGTCGCATAGCCTCCCTATCGAGGTTCATCTCACGGTCATCCGATAGGTGCCACAAATTTTTCAACGTGCTGAAAAAAGACAACGGACTCCAGTGGAATTCAGAATGCATCGATGCCTTAAGATAACTAAAGGCATACTTGTCTTCGTCCCCACTACTCGCCAAAACAGAACCTAGCGAATGCCTCCTAATATACTTGGCCGTTTCAGAAGTCGCGGTAAGCGCAGTGTTGGTCCGCGTAAACAAAGGTACGCAATCTCCAATTTATTACATTAGTAAAATACTGGTCGACGCCGAAACGAGGTACCCCCACCTCGAATAATTGGCCTTGGCATTGGTTATAGCTTCACGAAAACTTAGACCCTATTTTCAATGCCATCCCATATCGGTAGTAACGACCTTCCCCCTGTGGAGCATCCTACATAAACCTGAATTGTCGGGAAGATTGGCCAAGTAGGCCATAGAATTGATCGAGCACGATATAACATATCATCCGCGAACAACGATAAAATCGTAGGTACTCACCGATTTCGTTGCCGATTTCAGTGCCAAAAATGTGCCCAAGGTCGAGCAGGAAGGTTCTCGTACCCCTCTCGGTATACCTGACTTATGAGTCCTATACACCAATAGTGCATCCAATGCATCAGGATCTGGACTGGGACTCGTACTCGAGGTCCCAACAGGCGAAGTTATCCGTCAATCCATACGGTGCCCCGATATGCCTAACAATGAGGCCGAGTATGAGGACGTAATTGTAGGACTAAAGCTAGTTCTCAAATACGGAGCACGACGAGTCGTCCTCAGATGCGACTCACAACTCGTTGTCAACCAAGTCACTGGGACTTTCCAAATCAAAGAGCAGAGGCTACAAAAGTACCAGGCAAAAATTCATAAACTGCTGCCAGAATTCGACGAATGTCGACTCGACCAGATACCTTAAGCACAAACATCGAGGCAAATGGCTTAGGCATATTAGCAGCGGCCACCAAAAACATTACAAAAGAGAACGTGGTCACCCTTCTCCACTCGTCAATAGACCAACTTGAGGTACACTCTGTAAATTTGACTTGGGACTAGCGCAACCGCATTATAACATACTTGCAGGAGAGAGTACTCCCATCGGATAAAAAGGAAGCCAAAAACTTTCGAATGTAGACGGCCAGGTACGACATCATCAACCACGACCTGTCCAAAAGAACATTTGGGGCCCCTTGGCAAAATGTCTAGGGCTGAACCAAATGAGGCGTGTCCTCAAGGAAGTACACGAGGGCTACTGAGGTGCCCATACAGGCAACCGAGCCCTCGTCAGATGCCTCATTAGAGCAGGTTACTATTGGCCCATAATGAAGAAAGAAGTCGCCGACTACGACAAGAGGTGCGAGCTATGTCAGAAATACGCCCCTGTGATACACCAAGCAGGTGAGCTCCTCCACTTGGTTACATCGCTATGGCCATTCATCAAATGGGGAATGGATATTATCGGACCCCTCCCAGTAGGGCGAGGTAACATATGATTCCTTTTAGTTTTAATTAACTATTTTACCAAGTGGGTGGAAGCAGGTGCATTCACCCAAATACGCGAGTAGGAAGTTATCACATTCATATGGAGAAACATCATATGCCGCTTCGGCATCCCCAAAGAAATCAGCTGCGACAATGGACCACAATTCACCGAAAAAAGACTACTGAATTCTTCGAAAAATGGCATATCAAGCGAATACTCTCCACGCCATATCACCCTACTGGAAACAGCCAAGTCGAATCCTCCAACAAAACGATACTGAATATCTTGAAGAAAAAGCTTGAGGACGCCAAAAGATTATGGCCGGAGTTACTACCAGAAGTACTGTGGGCCTACCGCACCATGCCAAAAACAAGCACCAGAGAAATGCCATATTCATTAGTCTACGGGACTGACGCATGATACCGGTCGAGGTCGGAGAGCCTAGTTTGAGATACTCTAACAAAAGCAGACCAATCAATGACGAGAACAGGAAAACCTTGATAAAGCCGAGGAGAAAAGAGACATGGCTTACATAAGAATGGTAGCCCAAAAACAACAAGTAGAACAGTACTACAATAAAAAAGCCAAAATACGACCACTCAAAGTCGGCGACTATGTACTCAAGGCCAAAACACAGGCATGCAAAGATTCAAGAGAAGGCGAACTAGGAACCAATTAGGACTGGCCATACAAAATCACGACAGTAGCCAACAAAATATCATTCCAACTAGAAACAATGGAGGGAAAATTACTACAAAACAATTGGAATGTCGCCCGTCTCAAATATTTCAACTTCTGAAAACAGACACCCCTTAAGTCGTACTCTTTTTCCCTCACCCGGGTTTTGTCCCAATTGGGTTTTCTTGGGGAGGTTTTTAATGAGGCGACGAAGGGGACGTCTCGAAGTTCAAGTTTAATTCATCGCCCAGCCTGCCAACTACTTCTCCAGGCTGAACGATGAAGGGACTGGATACATGGAAACTCCAATTTATGTATGAAACAAACGTACACATGTAAATATTCTTCAATGAATAAAGCAACATTTTTTATTCTCTACCGTCTTTCACACTTTACATTCGACCTCGCTCGAATTACTTTACATTCGACCTCGCTCGAATTACTTTACATTCGACCTCGCTCGAATTACTTTACATTCGACCTCGTCAAATTATTTCACATTCGACCTCGCTCGGAGTATATCATATTTGACCTCGCTCGAATTACTTTACATTCAACCTCGCTCAAATTATTTCACATTCGACCTCGCTCGAAGTATATTATATTCGACCTCGCTCGAACTACTTAATATTCGACCTACATTTTTTACTCTCTACCGTCTTTCACACTTTACATTCGATCTCGCTCGAATTACTTTACATTCGACCTCGCTCGAATTACTTTACATTCGACCTCGCTCGAAGTATATCACATTCGACCTCGCTCGAAGTACTTTACATTTGACCTCACTCGAATTATTTCACATTCGACCTCGCTCGAAGTATATTATATTCGACCTCGCTCGAACTACTTAATATTCGACCTTGCTCGAAATCTCCAATGTTCACCGCGTTGAACATTGATATCATCAAAAACCAGGGGCCTCCCCACATAGCAAAAAAAAAAAGAACATAAATCAAGAGATACATAGCAAAAAGGGGGATGTTCCATTACAACTGTCATATTACAGTATTTTTTTACAAAGGGCCCAAACACGCCCTCACAAAAATAGTAGGACAAAACAAAAATAAGTACAACGACTTTACGTTGTGTCACCCTTCGTAGGCGAGCCTATCCGCATCATCATCAACATCATCCCCGCCAGGCGTACCAAGGGCATAACCACAAGCTTCACGGGCCGCACGTTCTTTAACACGGACACCCTCGAGTTTTGCTTCGGAAACTTTCCCGTCGGCCTTCAAGAACTTATACACATCAAGCTAAGCCTCGGCGTGAACCCACATCTCATACAACTCCTGCGGCATAACGGGGTCGGCATGAGTACGAGACATAGATGGCTGCGATTGCCGTCGCACTTCCTCAGCCTTCAAAGCAACAACCTGCTTGTTCAATCCGGACAACTCTGCCTCTAGATCCTGGATCCGCTTTTCTAACCTTGCCACCTTGAGGGCTAATGTCTTCACCTCATTATCCCGCTCAGACCTACAAACACGGAGGCCATAATCTAAGACCGATGCTTTAGACATGGCGACCATTCTGCCTTTCTCGACATGAGTCAATTCCTTAACCTTGATGCTCAACTCGCCCTTTAGATCGACAGCCTCTGCTTCCCTCCGCCCAAGCTCAGCAATTAAGGAGGCCACCCGCGCTTGAAGGTCGGCATTCTCAGCCATCACCCCCTTGCTTACCTCGAGCTCATCCTCCTTGGCCTTAAGAGCCGCCTCAAGCTCGCTGCACCAACCGATGGCTTTCATTAGCTCATCCTCCTCCTCCTTTAACTCCTCAACTT